ATCTCCACGCGTAGTGGCTGTCAACTTTTCAGATTCAGGTATTGCTAGTTATGAATAGTGTAATGGTGTCAATAGCTGTAGGATAAGAACACTCCATGGAAAGATTCCAATTCATTGATATGTGAGAGATAATTATGTGTAGGTATTATAGGTGAGATAAAATTTAGTTTAATTGGACGTCAGAATTTTCAAATTGCTCTATGGTCCCAAAGAAAGTACCTCATGACCTCCCTGGGAGCCTTGGGGTTGGGAACCCCTGGTCTAAAGAAAATCTTATTAGTCAAGAGTACATTATTTTACAGCCGTGGATTATGGATTATACAAGAGATCAATTGAAATGTGATAGAGGAGCCAGTTGGTATTATATTCATTAACGGCGTAAAGATACCACACATAATATCACTCAAGCATCTAACGGTGAATAAGGACTATGCTGAGGAAGACCGTAGGAGAAATAACATGACAATCTTCCGCTGTGCAACTGCACTGATGTGGTATTCAACGCAGAACTGGATTTGGTCGGAATAGGGAAGGAGGAGAGATCCGAAGCAGAAATCAGGGAGAGATTGCATGCCATCCTTGCAGAAGTCAAAATGACCAAAGATCTTAGGAACTATTTTGTTGTAGTATATTGCAATCAAGAGCTCAGACTCATTACATCCATTGACAAGAGAGGTTCAAGACTGGCTTGCACTGATGTCTATACGTAAGAAGTTAACTCTGTGTAGGGTGCCCAGCGCACGTCGGAATCCATGGGAATAAGCCATCTGCCGCTCAGCCCCGTGAGGCTCATTTTCCTCTCCCACACACCGACTTGAAACCCAGCATCAGAATCTGCCTTCGTGATAAATGGAAGGAACAATGAAGGCATACCTCTAGAAACAAACTGCGAGAGATTGGAGACGATCTTAGCAGTTAGATGACCAGCGTCCATCCGAACCGACATGTAGAACGTGTGTTAACAAGGCACACAAGATTGGCCGATGATGGCTAAAAGTATTGCACGTTGTTGAGGATGCCTAGATCCATTAACGGTCGCACATGTGGAAAATGTGCAGCATTCTCTGACCAAAGACTCAAGTATTTGTCTCCCCCATATACCCCGAAAACATATTGGGGGAGACTATTAACCTTTAAAACATAATATTCATGTTAAGATGTGAATTTGCCGCTAATGATCTTAGTTGTTCACGTGGCAGCTAATTTTAAATAATCAATCAATATTCAAGTGTTCATAAACAGGCGCCGAATAGCAGATAAAAAAGATCCCCAGTTTTATTTTCTTTGAAGTGAAAAACAACAAAACAAGATACACCTCTCCCTAGCCAAGTTACTGGTGTACCGGGGTTTGCTTCGGCAAAATCACTGATGGTGAGATATAAAACGTCATTGAAGACATGACCGACCGTTTCGATGAAAAACCTATCGTTCTGTTCATATCTTGACAAATTTGAGCCATATTTACATCGAAAGCGCAGACCTTACAAATTCCTGCTATGAACAAAAATCTATATAAATTTTGAGTTGAATCTAGAGTGTAAAAGAGATACCAGACTATAGCTTACTTTCTGAGTTAAGAAAAAGGATGGTGGTTTTTATTACCTCTACCAAAGGTCAGGCATGTTTTGGATCATATTGCTGTACATAGTTCATATATCTATATACTATTATCACCTCCGATGAAGGAAGAGATCATGTTTATGAAGTGTTCGGTTATCTATAAATCTATTTATTTATTATTACTATTTTTGTGTGTGTTTGACAATGAGTGCACACAAAGGTACTACCGAATCGTTGTGATAGTCTATGTATAGGTTGCCTGTAGCATAGGGATTAGTTAATTGTTTGATGGTGATCTGGGTTGGTTGGCTAGATGATGGTTTAGATCAGGATGGCGGTGCAGAGTACAGGTACAGGTACATTAAGGATGGTGAAGGAAGACTGTGAATATATTCTAGGACAGATTCTGGTCACTTATGAAACTGGGTTAAAGGGACGTCTACGTCGTGTGCAGACACTATCAAAGACCATAAGCAAGTAATTGGGTGGTTCATTGTTTTGCTATATAAGTGAAACGCTTCAGACGTTTAGAGCACATGGGAAAGGTTTCTCTAGAACAGTGTCAAGTTTTGCAAGTGTCAAAGCCCTCTGAAAAGTTTGACTACAACATTATCCATTTGTATATGAATATGAGAAGTTGAAATTTCTTATAACTATACTAATAATAATAATGATAATAAACTTAATTACTATTAATATTATGGTCATCATCATTATCATTATTATTATAATTATTATTATTATTTGCATGATTATTTTTACTATTAGAAATATTGCTCTCCACAGGTATGATCTGTGCAGAAAAATCCCAATCGATTGAAACATGCAAATGCAATCGCTCAAGATCTTATTCCTTACTTTTCTTTGGCGCCGACAATGCATTTAAAATCTGTTGATGTGTACGTTATTATAATAGAAATAAACATTTGGCTTAAGAGGATTAATTGGCAAGGAATATATCACAAAATAATGCATATTCAAGAAAATGAATGACTGATGCTTATTAGGTATATGAAATGAAAAGGCGATAATATTCTCTTGCTGACATTGTGATTATATTTTAAACTCAGCAAAGCCTTTTTTCACATTTATTGTAATGAGGACTGACTTCATTATTTACGTTTCACGGAAGTGTTCAAATGAAGACAATAGTGGGTAAGTAAATGTTTGCAGGGGTGGGGAAGGGCACCAGAATCACCCAAACACTAGTATAAACCTCGGAGTAAGATCAGCCATCTTGAATTGTGGCAACCATATTGAATAATATTCCTTCGTTTACACTATGCGTATACACTGATGCATGGCGCAAAGGCTTAACTCTGAGGTTCATTTCCTTTACCAACTTCCATACGTCAGTTCCTGCTTTTCGCAATTTTCAGTTTAATGTTGGACGCCATCTTTGTTTAAGGTGGTCATATGGGTCTTTCACGCAAGAAACCGTTTTTAAGTCTGTGTTTAAAACTGCGACTTTAATCGTAATCACTTTTTGGGGCGGTCCTTTATACTATTCACCAAGAAGATAAAAGGGAATATATTGGGTTTGGACCGAAATATTTTACCTTTTTCTTCTTTCAAAATATCCGGAGCAGTGTTGTTTTCGTGGTCGACTTAAATGCATGTGTTTCCCTAAGCGACGGGGATTTTTAGGGGTAATCATGTTGGATCTCCCCTTTTCCGCAGACAAACCGAAATATCAGATGCCCTTTGTGTCTTTCATAGGGGTCACAGGGGAGTAATTTTATTATGTCTACTTTAACCAGGATATCTATTTTAATTTGGAAATTTTACACGTAATCTAGTAGAATTTTGTTTACTTCATGGTGCTAAGTTTAGACATTTTCAAGAATTTAGGGAAATGCAAGTGCGTTAATTGGCATTAGAATATTTCCAATCTGTAATACAATTCCATTGTTTCCATTGTTGCAAGTGTTAAACTGCTGGACTGTAATATTTGAAATTTATAAGCATATCCACACACACACAACACACACACACACACACACACACACATATATATATGTATATATATGTGTGTGTGTGTGTGTGTGTGTGTGTGTGTGTGTGTGTGTGTGAGCGTATGTGTCGTGTGTGTTTGATTTGTAAAGGAAGATGTACACATATGAAGCGATGCCGTCGAGAGCAGAGAAATTAAACTGAAATGTCTTTTGTAAGACTAACTAAGCTAATCGGATTATTCATCCATAAATCAAAGGGTTACTGCATGTGTTGCAAACTAGGGGTATGCTCGTTTAAAGGCAACGGATATCCTGTTCAGGGACCGATGAAGGTAAACTGTAATGACCTATAATGACGTTACCCCTGTACTTGAGTGATTGGTCAACAGGTAAGATGATGAAGTGAAGAAGGGACCAAAAGGAGAAGTTAGTGCTCTACTTTTGCTCATTATTGAAACTGGGTAGAGTTAAATACCATTGTCTATGAGCAATACATGAACTAGTTGATATGAAAGTAAGGTGAGTATATAAGATTTAACATTTTTTGTAATAGTTATTATATTTCAATATATAAATCACTATACATACACAGGTATGACACTCACA